GGGTGAGAGTAAAAAATTTATGAATTTTTTTTTAATCTTAGTACCTAAGTGACACCCTAGTGCCCAGGAAATTGAACTGCGACACCTTCTCCACCTGCTCTCCATTTACTGTGAGTGAGTGGTGCTTCACATTTTCCCTTCTTGGATCAATGATGATTTGTTTGGTTTTGTTGACGTTCAGGGTCAGGTTGTTAGCTGTACACCAGTTCGCTAGCTGCTGCTCTACTTCCCTGTATGCTGACTAATTTCCCTGGCTGATTAGGCCCACCACGGTTGTATCATCAGCAAACTTAATGATGGCAACCATAGGAACCATTGCCTGGTTCAGTCTGACAAAAAGCCATAAAACTTTGCAAATCTTCCTGAGAGCCCTCAGTAGGGCTGTAACGAAGCCTCGATGACGTCAACGGCTCGATTCTAAAAATTTGTCGACGTCAGATCCAGTAGTCTACGCAACACGCCCACTTGTTGCATCCCCAGGAGTTTGTAAATAGAGGTGAAATCTGCCTGTTTTTCCTCTAGTTCACCCTCTTCTCCGCCTTCACTAACATCTCCACCAAATACCGAAAACCCGGAACAATGTCCGCCCGTTACTAGATTCCTTTCCTGTTTTGCCCGCCTTCGTCTCCCGGCAACGGACAACAACTTCCGGGGTCAAATGCGCTGCATCGTCTCCACTGCAGATGTAGAAAATCACCGGGAGCATTTCTCCCTTCATTAAGGAGCTTCTTTCAGACATCAGGAGAGCTGTTTTGGTGGTAGCAGTCTCTCCTCCGTGCTGGTCTGTTTGCTGCTGGGTGTTTTTGGTTTATTTAAACTTGGTAACTTGAACTTAACGTTGGTAAAGCTACTGTTAGCATTTTCGCGAACAGCTTGCGTTTGGATAAGCTGTTACGTTTTGGTTTAGAGTTCATCTTTTTTGTGGTGCAGATCTCCATTTTATTACATTTAGAGTGTTGTGGGTTTTCGGTTTAGTGTAAAATATCACCTTGAGTTTGGTTTAACCTCCCAGTTTAGAGTTTGGACCTTTGGAGATTCTTATTTTGGTCCAGAACCCTGTAATCTTTGCCCAGTGGGACATCCCTACTTATTTGTACTTTTGTTTTAATTCCCCACAGGCAGAGTTAGTTTTATTATTCCCAACCTGTGGATGGAAAGATTTGTTTTTCTTGTAGTTGTAAATAAACCTGATCATCATTTTAACTTTTAAATCCCATTATTGTCCCTTCCTTTTTGCACACGAGTCAAACTCCCCAGGAAGAGTCGTAACACCACTCGCCTCACGCACATAAGGGACCATAACAAAGCAGCATGGAGACACTCCATCTCCAACCACCTCTCAGGCAGCAGCCTGCACTCCCAAGTTCTACATGTTACCAGAACATAACCAACCACAACACATTAAAAGCAGAGTTATACAAAATGGAAGGCCTGTAGTGTTTATTCTCTTACAGTAAGAATTTATCAATTTTTTTGAGGAATTCATTAGAGATTTTTTGGTTTTTATTAACTGTGCAATAGAAAAATAATCTTTAGATTAATTGTCTAAATAGTCATTAAAATAGTCGACTATTCGATAAAATAATCGTCAGAATAATCGTTTTAAAAATAATCGTTTACCCCCAGCCCTAGCCCTCAGCAACACCACCATTTTTTCTGCTAAGTTGTCTTTCTGTGGAGTAGGGCTGTGCAATAAATAGAAAATGTATTGTTGTCGAAATTTCTGACTCTTGTGGAGATAATTTTTCCCATGTCAAAAAATTTTGAAAATAAAAAAATAAAAAGCTGTGTAGGTTGGCAACGTTCATGTCCCCTTAAGAAGCGGTACCGCCTTGAGTCACGTAGAAATGGGACTCAACGTAGCACACGTGACCGCCGCATCTAGTGGACAACTTTTGTTTTTGCGCATACCTGTAGTTATCGTCCATTTATCGTTATTGAGGTGAAGTCCTCAATATATCATGATATTGATTTCAGACCATATTGCCCAGCCCAACTGTGAAGTATTCAAGTTCCCCCTCCTCCTGCACGTATGAGGGATGCACCCACTTTGTGCCATGGAGCTGGGAACAAATCTACACTCAGATGGGCTGACTCAAACCACGCTGTACAGATCTGCTTTAGGCTGAGTAGAGCTCCTGAAAAACCACCTGAAGGGTCATGACCAGACTATATTCACATATATAGGATGGCTTTGCAGACCAACCATGTCTGGTGTTGTGTAAAATACTCAATTCTGAAGCTTATTCTGTTGATCTGCAACTGCTCCAAGACAACACTCTGTATTGCTCTTTTGTACCCCACCCTGGCTTTTTCTTATACCTCCTCTGGAGAAAATGTCAGTGGATCCTCCCAGGTGGATTTGTTAAGCTGGGATGATGACTCACAGCCACGGGGAGTGTCAGGAAGATCCGTGGAGCATCGTCAATCAACCCTATTACTGTTTATTTAATGATACAGGCCTAGCATGTGCACCTGGGTCCTCCAGATAGAGACATACATTTGGAAGGATGGAAAGATGACAGGGGAAGGGAGGGGAGCTTAAATATGAGTCCCAAGAGTAGTGACAAGAAACACATGATTACAAAGTGGGAGGAGCTGCAAGGCTGCAAGATCAGCAGCAAGATATGTAAACGTGCAGCTGAGCAAATCCATATAACAGGGGTGGGATTGATGGTTGGAATTGGAGGTTATGTTAATATGTAGGTTTGATGGGGGTTCATAGTGCATGTTGTATTGACTATCAGGAGGGAGAGGCTTAAGATGTCACATGGTCTGAATTTACACTAGAAGCATGACTCTTTGACCCTGTTGGTAAAAACACACACCACATCTTTCTCATTACTCAGAAAGAAAAGGTCTGATGGGCCAGGAAGGGCTTTTCTCATCTCCTCTGACTTCTATAAACGTTCTTACAGATTAGTCAACTCTATAAACGCTGGACTGTTTCAGATCTGATGTGAAGCCACTGTCAGGACACACAAGAAACAAACTGCAATATTTAAGTCCTGACATGTGTGTACAATTGAGATCCGTGTTAAATGTCTTCGCAGCTGACCTAAATGGCTCAGGTTTGTGGGAACAAAGTAACATCCTTTTTGAATGATGTGTAAAACTTGTAGGAACTGTATTAGAACAGAACTGTTAGCTTTAGTTCACTGATCAAGACCACAATAGAGATCACCTTCATCTCACCGAGACCTGAGTTAGGTACATATTGCGCAGGTTGTTTCAGAGTTGTCAGTATGCTGTGGGTTAGAGCAGATTTTTCCAGTTCCACAGGACACATGTGGAGTTCACACACCTCCAGAGCCCACTAGTGTCCAACCCTTCTCAAGAAGTAGTCAGCTGATACTTTGAATGGCGGCTTCACATCAACAGATGTCTGTTGTTCAGTCTGTGTTTGTGTAGTCAGTGTTTTACACTACCGGGGGGGGGGGGGGGTGTTTATCAAAGTGCTTAACATTTAAAATGGAATTAAAAACAAGTTAAACATTTAGGAACCATTGTAAAAACAGCAATGAAACTAAAATGCTAAAACCAAGAGCACAAGATTCGATACAGATTACAACACTCCAGGGGATTTAGAAGCCCTGCGAAAGAGGTGTGTCTTTAGTCCAGATGTAAACAGAGGAACGTCTGTAGTCATGCGCAGGTCAAGTAGTAGTTTGTCCCACAGCTTTGGAGCTGCCACAGGGAATGTGTGATCACCCTATGTCTGGTTTTAGATTGTGGAACATGTAAATAGAATTGACTGGAAGATCTTGTTTCTCTGCCATGTTTTTTGCAATGAGAGACTGTCTGAGATGTAACAAGGGCGAGACCATGAGTAAACCATGAATAAATGCAAACATAATAATCTTGAATTCAGTCCTAAATTTAACAGGGAGCCAATGAATTGATGAGCGGATTGGAGTGATGTGTTGCCGCCTAGAGGTGTTTGTAAGCAGATGTGCGGCTATGTTTGACCAAACTGCAGAGTCAGCGGGAAAGGTTGGATACGTTTTCCTGATTACATGAAATGCCATTGGTCTGCTGTGAATCCCTTTTGCTTAGATTAGTGATCTTATTCAGGCCGATGTCTGTATTTGTATTTTATGTGATGATTATTTCATTTTCTTGGGTTCATTTTCTCAACGTTTCCTTTTTTCTGACTTTAACCAGTAGCGTTAGCCTAAACTTGTTTCCAGCGTAAGCGTCCTCATTCCTAATGCACTTCCAGATTGGAATGTGTTCCTTGCAGAGGTGTCACTGCAAGTCACTGCTTTGCAAGTCACAAGTAAGTCACAAGTCTTTCCAGTCAAGTCTCGAGTCAAGCCCAAGTCAAAGACAACTAAGTCAAAGTCAAGTCCAAAGTCAATGATGTGGAAGTCCAAGTCAAGTCCAAGTCCTCAACTATGAATTTTCAAGTCATAATCAAGTCATCTGTCCAACTTTAATGACGATGATAATAAATAAACTCCAGAAATAAAGCTTCTTAAAGCTTAATTTATTTGTTCAAACAAGCAGGAAGTGCAACTGAAACTGGTTATAAACAAAGTGCTGCTGCAGTTAGCAGAACAAGATCAAACCCAGAGCGACGAATGATTTATGATTTTTGTCCATGTCGTGCCACTTTTATGCTAAAATATCAGATATGCTCAAGTCATCATCAAGTCAACAGATGCAAGTTGATTCAAGTTGCAAGTCATCGGTGTTCAAGTCCAAGTCAAGTCGTAAGTCTAGATTTTATCAAGTCAAGTCAGAAGTCATTAAACTAATGACACGAGTCTGACTCGAGTCCAGGTCATGTGACTCAAGTCCACACCTCTGGTTCTTTGTATAGTACCATTTATGAATGGTTGTTTGGCCCCCATGGAATGTGTCTCTCTCCTCCTACTTACCCCTCAAGGACAAAAGTGTCTTTACTGTAGAGCAATGTCCTGCATATGTTTGAACTGTCCACAGACCTTGTTAGTGACCATGGTGTCTCTCTGTGTACTCTGTCTGTCTCTCCACAGATAGGACTGATGTCAGTTACAGTTTTCCCGGTCCGTCTGCTGCTCGTCTCCTTTTTTATGTTGCTGGCATGGCCCTTCGCCTTCACAGCCTCCCTGGGACGCTCAGATTTTGTTGTTGAGCCTCAGTCGTGGTGGAGGAGGTGTGTTGGTTTTTTATATGATGGATAGTGTGCTCATAAGGCATCTGATCACATTCAAGTTCTCGTCTCGACAGGAAGAATACCTGTGAGGAATGGGTTTTGTTTACCTAGTAAAAAGTTGACTAGATTGGTGAAACATTTGGAATAATTTGCTTTTTCAGGCTCACAGACATTTGTCTTCGGGTCATAATGCGAGCCATGTGGTTTTGCGGTGGCTTCCATTGGGTCAAAGTGAAAGGGGAGAGAGCGCCACCTTCTGAAGTTCCTATTCTCTCTGTGGCACCACATTCTTCCTACTTTGATGCCATCCCAGTCACCATGACCATGTGCTCTATAGTCACCAAACTAGAGAGCATGAGCATCCCTGTCTGGGGCAGTAAGTCGTACACATTTACACTCAGCATTTCCATTCATGCAGGATGTTACTGTTTTATCTAGAAATGGATGAATAGATCACAATTAACATACGTATCAGCCGATGTTGGTGATTTTTAAAATATATTAGCATAGAACTGATAAAGCGATTTTAGTTCTGAAGACGTTCAACATCTTCCTCCACATCGGCTTTATCATCAGCGTCCAGACTGGCTTGCGGACTGTCTAACAAGCCTCGAACATGTCAGGTTGAACTAGCTTTTTCCTCTCTGGCTTTGATATCCGTTCTCCTCATCATATTCCAGAGGAAAAAAAAATCTGACTAGCAGATGTTTCAGAAGCTACATCTGATTCTGATTAAACGTTGTCGTCTGCCATAATACTAACACAGAAAAAACAGCTACTGACTGTTTACATTAGCTTCCTGAGTGAAGGCCTAGTATGACGTAAGCAGCTGGGTAGTGCTTAGACTGGAAACTATTTTTTGTTTTTTAAACATCAGATTTTCTGAAAATCAAGCTGTGGAAATCTAATAATTTTTTTCAGATGAGGTTTTAATACTTTTCACACATGCCATTAAGAGGAAGTCCGCCTCTGGCCAGTAACTTTAAGGAAAGTGCATTTTGTATGTCAGTTTTTACTTGCTCTCTGTTTTTATCGACATTAATCTTCACTCAACTTATTGTACTTGTGTTCTGTTTTTAAGTCAAACACAACATCTTTACTGGTTTGTAGATGAATGGGAACACACAACAAACCTATTATTCTGTTTTCTTCCTTGTTTTGGCTTTAACGTCATCGCCTCCACCAGCTCTGATCAGCTACATCAGACCAGTGTTGGTGACTCGGACAGACCAGGACTCTAGAAGGAAAACTGTGGAAGAGATAAAGCGACGCGCTAATTCTGGAGGGAAGTGGCCACAGGTACTGACTTAATGACACATCACATCACCGATTACCCTTGAATGTAATTCAGTTGTTCTAGTTCAACACCTACAAAACAATCTACGCAAGAAATCAAAGTTAAAGGGGACGTCCGGGGGCCATGTGGGTTTCTATTGCCTTTGTAATCACACCAAACCAGAAAAAAAAATCTATATGTTTTCTGTCAGTGTCTGGTTTCAGGAATTATGTGCCTAAAACAAGCCATTTGAAAAAGTCCCATTTGTGACATCACAAACAGGAAAAGTAGCTTAGAACCACCTCTTATGTTTAAGAGAGAGCTTCTGCTAGAAAAAGCAGCGGCTCTACTCTGAGCTCCTTCCAGATTTTGGAGCTTCTCAGCTTATAGCAGCCTGAGCGGAGTATAAGTGGGCATTGCCAGCTCCAGCTTATTTTCTTAAGTGACAGAGCCCTGAAACGGCTCATTCTGGAAGATACTGAAAATGTTTAAAACAATTTAAATTGCTTTATTTGAGAGAGATTTAGTGCAAAGAACTTTATAAACCTGTTTTGTATCAACCATGAAAATATTATAACTTAAGAAAAGTCCATAATATATCCCCTTTAGTGTGAGCACTGTTTAAATATATGTCTCCTTGTTTCAGATTATGATATTCCCAGAAGGAACGTGCACCAACAGGTCGGGTCTCATATTATTCAAGGCTGGTATGTGTTCAACATCTTTCCTGCTTTAGCCTGATCATGAAACAGGATAACAGGTAGCATCATGCTGTGGTTTATCCCAAAATGATCTGGTGAAATCTCCATCACTGTGTTGGTTTGTTCAAGATGTTGGTATGCAGAATCAAGTTCTAGCACAGTAATGACAAGTTCATTAGTAAATCTTTGCCTTCTAAGAAATTTTTTTGTCAAGTCTAGTCAATTATAATTTTATTTCTAGAGCGCTTCACCCCTAAGCACAGCAGCTGACCAAAGTGCTGTACAAAAATAATTAAAACAGAGGAATTAAACCTCATAAAGGAGTACAAACAAACAACAGGATAAAAGACAGTGGCAGTACAATAACACAAAAATATCACAGCCAAAAGCAGAAAATGTTCAACATTAAAAGCCAAGTCTTTTGGCTTAATTTAAAACAAACAATAGAGGGGGACTATATCACCCTGTATCACTCATTGCAAAGTGGTGGAGCTGTGGACATAAAAGCGCATTACCCATGAGAGTTATAGTGTGGTCTCGAGGTTTGGAGAAGGAAATGTTCAGCAGATCTCAGTGAGCGGGTGGGTATGTAACAGGTGAGTGACTCTTGAGAGGGTTTGTCAGTAATCGTGCCACTGCAATTTGATCCTTACTTAAATCTTTTCACTATTTATCATGTAGCTTCTCTGTACTTCCTGAGATTTTTACCATTTGTTACCAATGTCACGGTGAATCAGTGGTCTTCTGTCTCTCACAGAACAAAGCTGGTGGTGTTAGTGTTGCACATCTTTTGTGTTTGAGTAACAGAATTGCCTTAAATCACACAATTTATTCCTCCCAACGAGCCAGACTTGGTCAGAGAGTAATCTTCCAGGTTTTTCAAACGTCTCAGATAGGGCCCGACCGATATATCGGCCTGGCCGATATTATCGGCCGATATAGGGGTCATTAACACTATCGGCTATTGGCCAAAAAGACGGCAGATATGGCCGATATTGCGCTACCTATCCAGCAGATGGCGCCAGCTTTATGAACTCATGTTGTGTGGCTCCACTCCTCGGGGGTGGAGCCACCATCACAGCACACATGCAGCGGGGCAGCAGAAGTAATTCAGTCAAGAGAGAGGACGGTGATGAGGAAGTAGGAGGTAAATCTTCAGTTTTAAGAATATTTGTTGTGTCAGTGGTAAGTTGAACGGTAAAATGAGCAATGACAAAAGTATGTTTCCCCTTAACATGCTTCCTAAGTTTATTGTGTGCCTCGTGGCCTCGTATTGAAAAGTTAACCTGAAAAAATAAAATAAAACTGCCGCAGCATTACGCTCTATGCAGAGGTCAAGCTGCTTCCCCTTTAGTCATGCAGGGCAGTAAGTAAGTAACATTGGCCTTTTTCTGGTAGACATTCTGGAATATTCTCAGACAATTTCCTCCGCTCTTCTTCAGCAGTCTTTTCAAACTCACGCAGTTCACCCACGGCTTGCGAAAAAAATAGTGCAGACGCCGAAACGATCGCTGCACGGCGCGGGCTGGAGCGCCGGCGCGCAGCGCTTCTGCGGCCCATGTGGCCTATAGAATAGGATAACCAGGACGACGAATGAAGGCGGTCCCAGTTTCGCGGCGCTTCGGCGGCACACGACCGTTGTCGCAGCTGAGGACGGGCGAGGGGGGGTTGGCAACAAAGCACGCTGTGCAGGGAGTCCCCCCTCCTCTCCCTAGCTGGTAGAGGAGGAGGGGCGGTAATACGAGAAAATAAACATTCCTCTCTACAATTGAATAAATCTATTGTATTTTTTCAGCCTTATATTTTACATAAGGCTTATACATTGCCACATACTAGTCATTTAACGTATCTTATTTTTATTTTCCTAATACTGTCAGCTTTGGAAAGGATCAAAACACAAAAGTGTAAAACTCCACAGACTCAGAAAACAAAAAAAACTTGAATGTTAGATTCATACTGACTGAGTTTGTGTGTTCTGTTGTTTTTGAGATTGCAAAATAAATCTTATTTGCATTACTTGGAAACCCTAGTGAGTTATTGAGACAGTTCTTTGGTGTGTAATATAGAAATAAGTTAGCATCAAAAAGGCTGAGAATGACGGGTTTAATCTAAAGAACATTTGTATTTATTTCTTTTTTGTGAGGGAGATTTATCGGCCATTATATCGGCTATCGGCCTTTGTTAAAAGTTTTATATCGGTATCGGTCCCAAAAAAAGCATATCGGTCGGGCCCTAGTCTCAGAGTATATTCTCCCCACGTTGGCTGCTTTTTCACTCATTTTCAGTTCAACTCTTAAATCTGAACAGTACAAAATATTGTGCCATGTCTGTGTTAAATGAGGAAGGTAATAAGGAAACTGGAAGGGTGGAGAACAGAAGAAGAGAAGTACACACCACATCTACCTCATTACATAGAAAGAGAACATGCCAGATGGGCTAGGAAGGGCTTTTCTCATCAACCACAGATCAACAGGAGGTCATGCCTTTTAAAAAATTAAACAAATCTTGAGATGCACCATCATCTCTCTTTATCAACCTCGACCCCACCTTCCTGCATCACTTGCTCAAAAGTATGCACGCATGTAGTCCCATTATAAACTTATTTATCACTATGTTTTATAATAATTCATCAACAAAGCAGATTATACAATGAACTGAAACTTTGTTCAATAAGTTTGGTGTTTCATAATCCAAAGTTTCCATTTGTTTTTAACTGTATAATTCTGCTTATAGCATGATGTGTGCTTTCACATCAACCTAAACCCTTCATTGTTGTGTTACAGATGTAATTCTGTTCTTTCAACTCTTATTTTATGAGAATTAAAAATATCTGCTGTTGAAATTTTTCTCCCCACTCATCAGAGCTGTCCTTGACTTCAGTGTTGCATTTGCCAGTGTTCACGTGACGCTTGTTTAGTCTAAGATACCAACCTTTTCTTTTGCCCAGTTCCAACAGAAGCTGGATTTAGTTTTGTTTTTGTTTGATTTCCAACCGTGGGTGTGTCTGTGTTTCAGCATAACCTCTCTCTATTCATTTCATTTTCTGTGTCTGGACTAGTTCTGCATGCGTCTGAGCATTTTGCTGCCAACTTCAGGTGTAGATGTCGAAGCACATTAATCTAACATTGTCCCAGCAGGTTGGGACATTCACGTTCTCACTAGAATACCGTAATGTTTATAAAAGTTAGGCTCATCTCTTTTGGACATGCTTTTACGCCAACATCCTGAAATATATGTGAGTGTGTGTGAGCGCATTGTAATGTCAGCCATTGTCTGATGCCAGCTCTTTCTAATCCCCTTTTCTTCCAGTCTGTAATTCTGTCATTCTCTGTAAGCCCTGCGGGTCTGTCTTGCTTTCACTGTGTGTGTTTATCTGTCTGTGTGTGTGTGTTGGACAACCCAGCATGTTCATTTCTCCTTTAGCTCTGTCTCGCAGCACAGCTCCTCATCGTTGATGTGTGTTAGGGTACAAGTAAGTGTGTTCACCCTACAGTTAGTTATCCAGATATTAAAGGGACTTTACGGAGTTTTGAATTTTTATGCTCGCGATTGCCCCCTCAGGCCAAAAGCGTAACAGCAGCTTCAAAAGTAGGCTCGTGCACGAGGCGCACATGCTGTACGTGCACACTCCTTAACGAAAATAACAGCAGAGACAGTCCTCTCTGTGTGTGTGTGTGTGTGTGTGTGTGTGTGTGTGTGTGTGTGTGTGTGTGTGTGTGTGTGTGTGTGTGTGTGTGTGTGTGTGTGTGTGGCCCGGAGGACAGAGGACAGGAGAACCTGCAGCTAATTAATTAAATAATTTGGTTCTGTACCTTTCTCTTCAGCACAGCCGACAAAGGTTTATGATGGGTCAGTCCTCCTGCATGCTCAGATCATTCCCTTCCCTTGCTTGAAAAATTGTTCCAAAATGAAAGTTGAACCCACATCTTTTTTATCTGTGAATTCAATGCCGTTCGGCGAGTATCAAATAAAAATGTGGGCATCTTACTGTAAAAAAATACCATTAATGTAAAAAAGAAACTCTAAATAAACTATGTTCACATCCAGAATTGAACCCAGGTCTTCTGCATGAGAGTCTGATGTCTTACTAGGTGAGCTAAAACGCCGGTGACGTCATTTGTATGTAACATTTATATCCTTGATGACAGCTGAAACAACATTCAAAGAACGGTTCGGAGCGAAAATGGCTATTTTGTTGCTAATTTGCAGGAAATATCTAGAAGAAAGTAGCTAAGGGTCCTCAGAAATGTAGCTAGGTTCATCACTAGGCGTTAGGAACAGTGACAAAGTCGCTGAGTTGGCACTACCTCTCTCTCTGCTGCTAAAGCTACGGATAGCAAATGCTACGGGCTATGCCTGAGCGTGAACGTGCATGAAGCAGCCTGCTCGACCCGAGCATCTCTCTTTTTCTGTGATTTTACAGAAAAACAGGCAATCACAGTAAAAATGCCAGGGCTCATTCTACAGGACCAGGGCATTGCAGGAGAATGTATGAAGAAGAAATTTATTATTTCTATACATGTTTTGGCTGTCAAACTTCCATAATGCCCCTTTAATATTAAAATAATTTTTACATGGACCACTTGAATTTCATAAACTTTGTTTGGAAATACCAGACTGGCTTACAGGCCTCCAGGAAAATTGAGTTTTTTTGTTACGTAATTACACAATTAGAAAAGCACTAATATTAAAATGTGTGCCAATATGAATATGCAGTAATAATATTGCTGTTATGGCAGATAACCAATACTTACTAATATTCTAATTATATTGATTTATATGTGTGATTACAAAAACATACATGTATTTATACACACACAGATATGTTAAAAAATGACTAACATCGACCGATGCAGAAGTTCATACTGATATATGGTGCATCTCTCTGTAGAAGTTTCTAATATGACCTTTATTTTGGTGATAAGGTTGGTGAAGAGCAGAATTTTAACCCCAATATTTTTCATCATTTAGCAAAATCCATCCATCCATCCATCATCCATCCAACC